ACAATTAACCACCCAGGGCTCCAGAATGGCTGTGGCCCATGGGGAGGGGAGTCACCTGAGGGGCAGGAGATGCAGTGGCAGAGGGACAGCAGCGTCCATCTCTTCTCGGGAACAGCCAGCGAGACCCTCCCATGAGGTTCCCAAAGGGGCTGGGGCCGAGGGGTCCCAGGACCTTGACCTGTCACAGGGCTGTCGCAGGTCATGGGTTCTTGGTGCCCACTGTTCCCAGGTGCCCACGAGGGAGACAGGACTTTATTGTTTATTTGTTTGTTTTTTTGAGACAAGGTCTTACTATACAGTTGAGACTGACCTGGAACTCACTATGTAGCCCAGGCTGGTCTCAACCTGACAGCGATCCTCCTGCCTCAGCCTCCCGAGTGCTGGGATTACAGACGTGTGCCACCACGCCTGGCTACAGGACTTTAGTTACTAATGAGCAGAGCACACTTGCTCCAAGCCAGGCATGCTGGTCTCCATCAGACCTAGTGAAATGGAGACCGGAAGTGTGGAAACCTAGGCCTGGGAAGGTTACGGAGCCCGTGTTGGAGGGGCTGTGGGTGTGTGGGGCACTCAGCCACTGCACCCCGTCTCCCTCCTGGAGGGCGAGCGAGACAAGGACAGAGGACTGGCGGCCCAGCCCGGCCTGAGGGAAGTGGCTCACAGAGAAGCTGGGTCTGGGCTCCTTCCCGTGGCCCAGGCCCAACACAACTTGGAATAAATGAGCAAGTTATGAATTAGGCAGGGCAGAGATGGAATCACTGTGAGAACCAGCTGAGAAGAAAATGGATCCCCACATCACGTCGTTAAACCCTCATTGCCCGCGCCCTTCTAATGTGCTGCTGACGAACAGGAATCCGTGTGCCCATGAGCACCCAGGAGGCTGCTCTCCCTTCCACGCCCACCCTAGCCGCAGACCCTAGGTGGCCGGCAGACGGCCACTGAGCCCCACTGCAGCCAGCGTCCTCAGAGCAGACTCCCAGTGCACAGTCATGGGTGTCACGAGCTGCTACCTCCTGTCCCAGTGGCCCACAGACACTTACTGAGCACCAGCTGTGCGCCAGGTGCTGCCACAGGTGACAGACTTATGTGCCTGTACTCAGCCGGGGAATTCCGGGATGCTGGCGATGAGGACCCCAGACGGCCACGGGGACTCTGGGAGAAGCAGGAACTGCTTATGCAAAGGCCCTGGAGCAGGGCTAGGTGGACATGGCTGGAGCTGGGACTCCAAGGAGGCTGAGGGAGGAGTGAGCAGTCACACAGGGCCTGGCAGCCTCTTCGACAAGGGGGCGGGTGTGGCCTGACTGCTTTGGAAAGATCCCCTGGCTGAGGGTTGCAGTGATTTTCACATTTTCATGCAGAGCCCAGGTGGTAGGAATGTTGTGAATCTTTGTTCCACCTCAAAACTCTGCTTCCATTTTCAGCCCCCCTAGGCCAAGGTCACAGGAGAGGGCATCAGAAGCCACTCAGCTGGACTTCCCGCCACAGTCCCAGGGTGCCGCTGTCCCCTCCACCCATCCCACGCTGAGCTGCACGCTTGCCCAAGGCCCACTGCCCAGCCGACCTGGGCAGCAGGTGTCGCCTGCAGCCCGCCCCCAGCCACTCCAGCTCCTGGTCTCGCCAGAGGGTCTCACAGGCCCGACTCTGAAGGGCGGAGACTGAAGGCTGCGTCTGATGCTCTCCTGGCTCAGGATGATCTCTGGAGCCTTGAACATGTGGCCGGAGGCCTGGGAGTTCCCTGCCTGTCACTTCAGATTCTGTCTGTGTGTCTCATGAACACTCGTGCCCGAGACTGTCTCGTCCGTCAGCATCCCTTCTTCCTTGAGCAAGGTCGCAGTGACACCTTCGCAGAGTCTGCTGCCCCACTCTGGGGGGCACTTCTGGGAGGCGGGCTGGCCCTGAGGGCTCCCTTAGGTAGAACGGGCACCTATCTCAGGACAGAGAAGGTGGGCCCGCAGCTGCCCCGAAAGTGACCGCGGAAGGAGGCTGTGACCTCGCGTTCCTGTTTGCAGTGGTGGGGAGCAGGGGGAGCTTTCCCGCCACCAGGTAGCCTGACCAGCGACAAGAACACCTTAAACAAAAGGGAAGGAAACACATTTCCCAGCTTGCCACACGGACTCTGTCTCGGTCTCTCTTGGGAGACACTAGGAACAGAACTGCTGGCTCCCGGTGCCACGTTTACCCTGCGGAAGAACTGCTTTCCGAAGCGCCTGCCCTGGTTTATACTTACCAGCAGCCGGCCTTTTGCTCCTCTGCAACTGAGACTTGTTATTTCCTGTTTGTTTGACTGGGGTTCTGAGGATGTGCAGCCACCTCGTGTGAGGCAGCCCCTCGCTGTGGCTTCGTTTGGTGCCCCCAGGGCCTGCCGCCTTGGGTGTCTTTTCCTGGGCCTCGTGGACTTTGCTGCTTGTTCTCTGGAGAAGCAGCCGCTCAAACCCTTTATGCCGGCTGCTGTAAGGTTCCACATGGGTCCTGAACAGACGATGACTTTTAACTGAACACAAGAACAAAGGAGCATGGTCCAGTGACCAGGACACCTGGACAACATTCCACACTTCTGTCAGCACCTGACTCTTGCAAAGAGCGGAGGAGTCGTAGCCCTTCTGGCTCTAGTCTGTCTCATGGGAACCCAGTGGGCTATACAGACTCCTGCCTGCCCTCTGTGCCCGGGACACCATCTTTCTGTGACTTGCTTCTCCCACAGCAGCCTGGCTGAGGGGGTCACACACTCCCTCTCTCTCTCTCTCTCTCTCTCTCTCTCTCTCTCTCTCTCTCTCTCTCTCTCTCCTCTCTCTCTGCAAGCTGACCCAGAGCTCCTGAAAGGAGCCAGGGCTGCGGAAGAGGGGACCTGGGAGTGACACACACCTGCTGGGCGGGACTCACGTGGGGCCCTGAGGTGTGAGCAGGGGCTGTTACTGTCCTGCAGACAAGTGCTCGCCTGAGTCAAGGTGGCGCAGCAGCACACAGAGCTGCAGGGGCCATGGGGTGACAGTGTGTGCTGGCGGCTTGCTAGGGCCCTCCAGGGTCTGGGAAAGGATGGGGCAGGGCGACCTCATCTACAAGGTGGTGCCAGATCTCATCACCCGTGGGTGTGGACAGGGCAGAAGATCCCCGAGCAGACCTGCTCTAGCCTGTCTCTGGCAGACAGAGCCCTCTGGGCCCACAAGCCACCAGGTCCTTTCAACCCAGGGCCCCCAGGGCCCATCTTAAGCCACACCATCCTAGGCGGCCTTGGGGAGTCTCCCACGTGTCCAGCCAGGCTGCTGGACCTCACCCTCTAAGCTAACCCAGATGAGCCCCTTGGTGCCACCTCTCCATGTCACCTGTGCCCGTGAAGCTCTCCTGTGGAGTCTTAGAGCATCACCAACTCATCATGCCCAGACAGCCTTGCTTCCCTCTGCAAACCCTCAGCTGACCTCAGGGAAGCCCCCAGGCTCTGAAACCCTGACAGCCCTGCTGGTGATGCCGACCACTCCCTGGCACAACACCTGCCAGTACACTCCCAAGGCCAGGGATTTGCACCTGTGTCCCTGTGCCTACTTCCTGCTAGGTGCCAGGCGCTCAGATCCCCTCCCTGGCCAGCTGGGGGCTCTGGACCAGGTGCCTTCCTGTCTGTTTTATCTCCTTGCTGGGAAAAATCACAATGTGATGGCTTGAATTTGAGGGATCTTAACGGATATGGTGGAGTTTGAGGTCCTGGGAGGGTAACGGGGTGCCAATCCTCAGAGCTGTCTAGCCAAGCCCCCCTGGGGGCCACACAGCCCTTCCCTCCTGCTGCCACTCCTCCGAGGGCCCAAGGCCTATCCTCCCAGGCATGCGATCAGAGGGCACACTTGTCCCTCTACCCCTCAAGAATGCCAGGCATCACTGAGGACACTTGAGGAGCCCACTGTTTTCCAGGACAGGACCATCAGGTAGACATGGTGACCGTCCCATGAGTCACTAAATGTGCCCAGCTGCCTCCCTAGGCCCAGGTCACCCAGGGGCTCTCTGCATGGCATGAGCCAGTGGACATTCCTTGTCAGGTCCCTGAAGTCTCAGGGCCTCTTGCAGGAGGGAAGGTTGCTTACGCTGCTGCACGGGAGTGGAGCCCTCAGACCTGGGGGACACTTCATGTTCAAGTCAGACTGCATGTGGAGGCAGAATGTGTTCCCAAACGTGCCCGAGTTCTCCATGTCACCCACATTCTGTCTCCACATGCGGTCTGAAAAACTCTTTACAGAGCAGACAGTGCCTGCCTGTTACCAGGGGCTGTTCCTGTCAGCTGTTCCTGTCAGCTGCTGCTGCTGCTCAGGGCTTTTGCACATGCTGTTTCTGGCCCCTAAAATGCTCCTTCCTCGGGGCACCTTCCGACTGCCCCTCCTACTTCTCACCTCCAGAGACAGTGTGTCCAGAGCTCGGCACTCACACTGACTCTCCACAGCCTGCAGATCAGTGCCCGGGCTGCAGTCCCTGTGCCATCTCTCACATCACTCACTCTGCACCCATGTGCACACGCTCACACCCTCACAGTGCACACGCTCACACCCTCCTTCATGCACAGTGGTGTCAGGCTGCCCAAGTCAGAGTCCTCGTGTCACCAGGACAGGGACAGGAGGGTACCCGCTGGGAACCCGTGGGCCAAGCCAGCACTGGGGTTGGCCTGCACCACAAATCCTGTAAGTTGGGCAGAGGAGCCAGACTTGGCAAATCCGCGAAAATAAAACACACTGCATAGGGTACAAGCTTTAGGTGTAAAATATATTTATACAGGCACAACCTTAACTGAGGACACACAGAAACACTGTCCAGACCTGACTGTCACCTGCCCGCTGGGTAAGACCCGCAGCCCTTGTGGAGTTCTCCTGACATACAATCACACTCTGCTTTTTTTGCAGTACTGGTAATTAAACCCAGGGCATTCACACGGAGCTACATTGCCAGCCCCCACTTTTTTTTTTTTTTTTTTTTTGTATATTTTTGAAACCGGGCCTTCCTTCCGGGCTGGGCTTGAACTTGCAATCCTCATGCCCCAACCTCCCCAGAATGCTGGGATTACAGGTGTGCACCATGCCTGGCTTAACACAAGTTCTACAAGCACAGTGAAGTCAAATTCTATGTATAAAACAGAGGTCCACAAATGTTTATTTATCCAAATCGGTCCTACCCAATGCAGAGGCCACCTGTTTCCAAGGACAAGAAGTGACAGTAGATTCAAACAAGATGTCACATGGAAGGTCCACAGGATCGCGCCTCCAGGGCACTGCCACCCCACGCAGGGCTTTCTACCACATCAAAGCGGCATGGGAAGCCAGAGCAGGCAGGTGGCTGGCAAGACAGCCAGGTCCTCAGCGGTGCTCCTTTCCAATATGCCACACCACTCCTCCCCAGTTCTCTGAGGCTCTGCCCCGACTGGTGGCTCAGTGCAGCCCTGGGTGGCCTCTCAGGCCCCGAGTCCAGTGCAGACGCCCTGAGTCCCGGCGCTGTGGCCTCGGCGAGGAGGGCCCAAGAGCAGGCGGGTCAGACGTCATTCTGCCGCTGGAGGTCTGTGGGACTCTCAGAGGCTGATGATTGGCTGGGCAGGGAGGCGTCCAGGCAGTCCAAGGGCCCGGATGGAGACTTGTACAGGAAGTAGGCAGCAGCAAAGAAGAGGAAGCCCAGCACCTGGCAACAGGAGGCACCTGCTAGACCTGTCCTGCCTGGGATCCCCCACAGCTGCAGCCCAGCCTGCGCCTTCTTCCCTGGTCCCTGGAACCTGCCTGATCAGGAGCTGAGACTTACCTCCCCACAGGACAGGAATGCCAGGGGGACAGACTAACATGTGTCTAAAAGCAGAAGCAAGGGCTGGGGATTTAGCTCAGTGATGCTACCACCTGCCTCGCAAGTGCAAGGACCCGAGTTTGATTCCCCGGTACTAAAAAAATAAAATAAAATAAAATAAAAGCAGAGGCAGAGCGAGGCAGTGTGCGGGGGTTCATGGGTTGATATGTGCAAGGCCAACCCCAGCCTGGGAACCTGGGAAGGGAACCCCACCTTTGTAGACAGAATTATGAGTTACATTAAAGATTTCCCTCTGCAGCCCAGATCATCCTGGATTTAAGGTTTCCCTAAATCCAGATTCCTGTCCTTAACAGAAAGGGAGGACAGACTCAAGGCTGGCGTGAGCGCCCACACACACTCACACAGGTGCACACGTCATCTGTCACACAGGCAGCCAGCCCACCCCGCAGGGAGCAGCCCCAGCCACTCCTGCCAGTGTCTCAGCCTCTAGCGAACCATGTAGGGTCGGGCAACCCCAGCAGTTAGAAGGGGAAGCTGCTCTGACCCCCAGCCAGGGTGCTGCTGGGGCCCTACTGTCCAGAGCGCTCTGACCGGCCAGAACCTCAGAGTCCCAGCCACTACGTCCTGAGGATGGGGAAGGGCGCCCCCCAGTGGCCGAGTCCCAGAAACATCTGGGACGCCGAGGCCCCGTGGGGTGTCCCACCAGGAGCCTGAGCCGGAGTCTCCAAGCTGGCCGGAGAACCTGCCGCAGGTCCGCCTCACCTTGTACACAAGCCCCACGACGAGCATATAGTGGCTCATGGCCGCATTCTGGTACACGAAGCAGGAGCCCTGGTGGCCACGCTGGTCTTGCCACAGCAGGCAGGCCTTGTCGATCACCCAGCCGAAGGCGATGGGTCCCGGGATGCTTCCTACAGGGAGGGGGCTCATAAGCACACTGCCGGGACACAGGGCAGCAGGGGGACCTGGCCAGGCAACACTGGCTTCAGTGCTCCCAGTGGGCGTAAAGAGGCTAAAGTGGTGCTCCTTGGGGTCCTGGCATGGGGCTGGCAGTGCCTTAGGTCTCCAAGGAGGGAGTCTGGTTTAGGGTAGGAGACCTCGGGGAAATAAATGCCAACCGGCCCCTGGCGGACAGCTCGGATGGCGCCCTTCCTGGGTGTACAGCCAGCCTGACTTGGGGAGAGGGCAGCTCCAGAGGCCCCAGTACAGAGGACACACTGCAGCTGTCCGTGCTGTCCTCATATAGCACAGTACCTAGTGTTCTAACTACGATCCACTGGATCCCTAGGGCGAAGGACCTCTGCCGATCCGGGACACACCTGCAATGGAAGGCAGCAGCGTCAGCAGCAGCACGAAGGACTGGCTGCTCGCCGAGTCACACACCCACACCGGCAGCAGATCTTGGCCAAGGCCCAGGCCACAGTGTCACCTCCCCCGGTGGCAAGCATCTTGCCAGAGGCCAGAGACATCAGCGCCTCCCAACAGGCAGGCCTCGCGGGCCTAGCACTATCCAGCTTTGGCCCTCAGGGCTCCACAGGCGCCACCTGTTGGTGCTGCGAGAAGGTGCTGGCGGAAGTAGCGGCGCTTACCGTAGAGTCGCCGTCAGCGCAGGAATGCTGCTGAGGAATGTAAAGACAATTACAACGAACACGAGAACCAGGAGGAGGGGCTTTCTCTGACAAGTTGAAGTGCATTTCCCTGCAGTGGCATGGCCCAAACTCGTGGGGACACAGCTACAGCCTCGGTACACCTGAGGAGCCCAACAACAGTGCTGATCACGGGAGGAAGGCAGGGCCGGCCCAGGTCCCGGGAGGCCAGGGCCACGGGCAGCAGCCACACTCACCTTGAGGCCACCCGGGCCCGACTCTGCGAGCCCCGGACACCCCGCGTAGCAGGGCGAGTAGTACATGGTGCCGTTTGTGTCGCACACAGGGCTGTAGGTCTCGGGCCGGCAGCTGCAGTGCGCGTTGCAGGCGGCCGTCAGGTTCAGGTGGCCCTCAGGCAGGAGGCTGTGGGGGGACACGTGGTGGTGGGAGAGCGGCCAGGCCTCCTCCTCCCTGGCCAACATCTAGGGTCTGCAAACCGGCCAGGCTGGTGCCACTCAGAGCACACAGGGCCTCTCCCGATGACGCCTCACCCCAGGGTTCCTCCACCCATGGGCAACCCCTAGCTACCTGATGTGGTTTTTCTTTTAGACAGGAACTGAACTCCATGGCCCCAAAAGGATGTCAGGAAAGAGTAGTGAACACGACACCCAGTGTGGGCCCAGCTGCGGGCCGCAGGTAATCAGAGCCCGCAGCCATTGCTGGTCTATGGCCCCTGTCAGAGGACGCACACTGCGCCCCACGCTCCTCTCCTTTCCTTCCCACGAACACTGTCTCCCAGATGCCCCTTCGGCGGAGCCCCCTTTGCCATGGGAACATGCACGGACCCAGCCTGCCCGCCCTACGCAATGCTCCCCGCTCCCCTTGTGGCTGCACGGACCCAGCCTGCCCGCCCTCCACAATGCTCCCCTTGTGGCTGCACCCCACATTGAAGTGGCATCTCGGGATGTCCCAGTCTCACTGGTGCAGTGCGAAGGCTGCTGGGAGACCCAGCTGGGCAGGGCAATCACTTGTGTCACCCAAGGGGTCAGTCCCTCAGGTCCTGCCTCACAGCAACACATGGGGTGGGTGTCGACATGTTCCGTGTGCATCCGAGGTTGCTGCAGTCCCATCTACAGAGAAGACTGAGGCCCAGGCCAGGACGTGACATCTTTTGGGACAACAGCATCTCACAGCGCTATTAAGACCCTCGCAGAGCATGCTCCTCCCAGTGCCAGCCTCTCCAGGACTGCCCCTGCCACCCCTACCTGTCGTAGCCAACTGTCACACCTGCCATGGGCACGTTGGGGCAGTGTGTGAGGAAGACGAAGAAGGCGAGCAGGCTGGTCAGGGTGCAGAGCAGGCAGAACCTGATGATCCCGGGGCCCCGGAGCCTAAACCTGTTCACCAGGAAGCCGCCCAAGAGTGTGCCGCCACCGCCCGCTGGCACCACCAGGTACCCTGGGGAGAGGTGGCTTGGTGAATGAGGGCGCCAACTGGGTCTTTCAACTCGTGTATGGGGCGGGGTGACTGGGGCCCAGAGGGACCAGTCCCTGTCCACCGGGTAGCACTCAAGCTGCTGCTCAGAGCCCCTGTGGGAGTCTCGTCCAGGGACCGCAGAGGCGCCCCAGAGCACAGATGCAGGGCAGAGTGCAGGGCCAGGGGCAGCACCCACAGCCCTGGCCTGCAAAGCCCCACTACAGCTCTGACAGGGTCCTGAGCAGCCCGCAGTCCTCGTTTGGCTCCCAGGAGCACAGGGTCAGGCACAGGGAGCAGGGCTCCTGAGGAAGCCACATCAAAGTGCTTGGGGCCCGTCATCAAAGTGACGGGCCCAGCAGGGAGAGGGTGGTTCCCCGCGGGACTGACCACTGTCCACAGGCTGACCGCAGAGCCTCTTGCCAGGCCTGGGGCATCAAAGCTGGGCCACTGCTTAATTGGTGCTTGAGATCAGTGACTCTGTGCACCTCATCTGGCAGGCCTGGGAGGCCAGGCTGGGGCACGGACAGCCACTCCAGGCAAAGGCCCGAGAGCTTCCCAGCTCCCTTCTGTAATGAAGGACACAGCCCTGGTGGTGAGCAGGTGGGGTTTGGCCTGCTTGGATGGGCCACGGTCCTCCAGCACCCACCTCCCACCCAGGGGGAAGGCACAGTCCTTTCTGTACAACACCCCAGGGTTTAGTTTTCTCACCAAACAAAGAGGCAGCTTCAGAGGCACTGAGGCTGAACTGGGCCTCTAAGAACTTGGGGCCAAACGTGGACATGCTGGCAACGAGAGTGGCCTCAGTGGCCCCCGCCAGACAGAGCAGGATGAATGTGGGGTTCTTCAGCAGCAGCCAGATGGAGCTGGACAGGGAAGGGCAGAGAGGAGACAGGGGTCACAGTGGCTGAGCACAGGACCCCCAGTTCCAAGAGGGCAGTGAAGTGGAGTGCAGCAAGTGAGAGGCATCTTGCATTTACTCCACAGAACAAGAAGGGGTGCAGGGAGGGAACCAAGAGCCTCAGGCTCAGCCCTGGACGTGTCCTGAAAGCACCACGGCCAGACTCTGGGTCCAGCAGGGGCACAGCCCTCAAGTGACCAGAACCACGGTGCCTCCCGGTGGCACCTGTGACAATGAGCAGAGGCCTGAGAAGGCTGGAGGGGGCAGCAGGCAGCGATTCCCGGGCTACAGGGGCCCCACAGGACAGGGCCCAAGGTCCCCAAGAATGGGACCAGTTCTCAATCAGCAGGAAGCAGCGGGGAGCAGGATGCCTCCAGGGTTTGGAACCAGGGGCCCTTCAAGGGGCCCGAGTGGGCTTGGCTGGCTCACAGCTTTTCTTGGCTTGCACCTGGGGGGCAACAGCCAGGACCAGTGGTCAGGTGCAGCATGCTGGTTCCAGGGTGTATGTGGGCTGGCCCTTCTTCTGGAACAGTTCTCGCCCCAGCAGTTTTCTGGACTGGGCTGAGGAAGGCACCATACCCCACAGCTTCCAGCAGGGCAGCCCCTAGCTTGCTTCCCAGAGCCATGCAAGGTAGCTGGGGTGGGGACGGACCTGGCCAGTCAGCCCAGTATGCTGAGCAGTGGGTTCTGAGTGGGGTCTGCTGGACAGGTGCCAACAGCAGAAAGTGCAGGAGTCCCCAGAGCAGGGTGAGGAGGTAGAGCCAAGAGCCAGAAGCAGAAACACAGCGGTCCTTGCTGGCTGGGCCTGCAGGCCTTGCATGGCCAGAGTGGCCTCCACCCCCTGGGGCAGGTGCGTCCGCAGCACAGGAAGCTGCAGGTACGGTTCAACATTTCCCTGAGCCCAAAATTCAGGGGTCAAAGAGCTTAGAGCTGAAGCCGGCTCACAGCACAATATTCTCCCTGCCTTCTACCGTCAGCAGCACCACTTCTCAAAATCGGTGGCTCCTTAGCAAAGCCTTGGAAACGCCTTTGCTTTCCTATCCAGTGTTGCCTCAAAAAGCTCTCTTGCAGTCCCTGCTTGGTGATCATGTGGTGGTGGTGGTGGGGTTAGGGGTTGAATCCAGGGCCTTCACACTGAGCCATATCCTCAGCCTTTTCTATTTTTTTATTTTGAGACCCAGTATAGGCCTGAGCTTGTGATCCTCCTGCCCTGGCCTCCTCCCAAAGTGCTGGGATGACAGGAGTGCACCACTGCTCTTCGCGCAGTGCCGTGAGCAGAAGCAGGAGTGCCCTGTGTGCTCCTGCCTCTCCCGGGAGACAACACCCCCCGCACGAATCTAGACACACGACCAGAACACCAGCGGCTGTCAAGGCGGCTCTGGACATCTTGGCGCTTCTGAAGGAGCAGTTGTGACCAGCTCAGAGCCCTGCTGGGCTGCGCTGAGGGCGCTGTGCCGGGGGCCGGCCCCGCCCACCTCCCGGGGCTGATGGGGGATCACGGCTCTCAGACCTGCTACAGAGTGGCACTTGGTCACAAGGTCCCTTTTGTCCCCTATCCAACTCCACTGGGAGCACCAAACCCTTCCAAATTTACTTTTTACTTCAGAGTCAAAAGCCTACCTCTCTGGCCAACTACAGGACTCTGCAGAGAAAAGAGTAGCTGCGGAGGAAACCCCACCCCGGAGCAGGGCGGGCTCAGGGCGCAGGGTGGGTGGATGAGGTGGTGGTGCCCTTCCTCCGCTGCATCAGGATGAAGTGTAAACGTCCTGGTTTCTTGGCAAGAACGTTTGTACTGATGTCACCAGAGAACCAGTCGTGGTCTTGGTGCAGAGTACCTGTGCCAGCACTCTTTTCCTAACAGCAACTGGTTTGGGAACCAGCCCTGGACATCAACTTCCTGTCATCCAACAACACAAGAGGCTCAGGGCTCAGGGTCTCCACATCCACACTGGGCCAAGGCTTGCGCTGCACTGAGCAAGCTGGCTGCCAGTGCCAGTCCCTTGGCCCTGAGTGGCTTGGCATGATATTCCAGCACCCCTCCACGTGCCTCACAGGGAAGCCCTAAATGAGAGCTGGGGCTCTCTGTGGGGCTCCCCTCAGCCTCTCCATCCCATGTTGAGGACAGGCTGTGGGGGCTCATCCCTGTCACCCCAGCCCTCTGCCTCACAGGGTCAGTTAGATGCCACCATTTGTGAGCCCAGACACGAAAGAAAGCACCCACTGGGTCCCAGAGGCTGAGGACTGGAGCAGGCCACTCAAAGGTCGTGTCCCCAACCCTGTGGACAGCCCCATGGCATGCATGGTCCTGCGAGAACAGGACCCTTGCACCGGGGGCTCCTAGGCTCCAAGCCGTCCCTCTAGGGCCAGGCAGGTGAGGGCATCACCTTTGCACACGAAGACAACAGAGCCGGGCCAGACAATGGCCAGAGAGAGGGGGCACAGTGAGGACTGCAAACCACAGAAACACCACTGTAATGAAGGAGAGCATGCAGGGGAGGCGGGATGGGCAGTGCAGGAGATCTTGCTCCCTGTGGTGCTCAAGATGCCCAGGAGGGGCAGGAGGTACCACCCCAGAGCCCCCAAGGGCACACGTGGAGGGGATTGTGCGAGGGAGGGTTTCAGGCTCAGGGCAGCCTCCTAGGGACCTGGCATCACACAGCCAGGGTCAGGAGGCTTGCGGCTATGGAAGGGATTTGCTCCAGGCCTGTGAGGGGCCATAGGCTGGGCTGGTGTGGCTGAACCCCCACCCACACTCTATAGTCCATGGTGGCCTCAATAAGAGGCTGCGGTGCCCACATCTCAGGGTTTGGTAGGTCATGAGAGTGGTTTAGTAGATGTGGGCTCACACTGTGACCCTGGAGGGGCTGCGCTGACCTCCACATGGGCCCATGACCCCCCACCCTGGGTCCTTACAGGGGCAGGTCTCTGACAGTCTTCCCGAAGGCCAGGCTGCTAGCTGTCTTGTGGCTGTGGTCTTTCAGCTGCCGTGTCTCTGCCGTTCTCATGACAACGTAGCTCTGGGAGCCTGAGGGAGTTAGCAGGGGCCTCGGTTTCCAAGGGGCAATGGACCGAGCGGCCTCCGTCTCCCTGCCCCGCCATTAGGGTATACCCCCATCTGCCACCCTGCAGTGACTGCAGTCCTAGTGCCAAGGTAATGCCATGGCGCAAGGTGGAGGTGTGAGAGCCTCAGGAGGCAGAACAAGCAGCCTACCGCGGAGGAGCTGGAGGCCAGGCCAGGGGACACGATGGCTGCCCGCTGCTGGCCAGGCCTGCCCTGCCCTCTCAGCATCATGGAGAGGTTGATTCTGCTCTTGTTCCTTGTCAGTAGAAACGAGAAGGGAAGGAACAGGGAGGAGAGGGTGTTCTGCCTCCTGGAAGGGACAGCTGGGCTGGGGTGGGAAAACCCACCTGGCAGCTGTCGGGGGTAGCCAAGGACAGGGACAGCAATAAGCAGGGCTGTTGCCGCTGCACCCAGGAAGCCGATCCACCAGGCACCGACCCATAGTGGGCTCTCGGGGGTCAAGTGCGTCCTGCAGGAAGAGACAGAGGCAAGCGGGTCCCCGGCTGGCCTGTCCTGGAGACGCGCATATGCACGCATGCGCACACGCCTGGCTGCCTGGCTCCTCTGCTCACCAAGCCTCCAGGGTCCCTGTGCATACTGGTGAGCAGAGGCCCACAGCCTTGCACCCACCCCACCGGCCCCTGGCTTGGACACTCCCAGGACAGCTGGCTCCCCACTCCAGCCTGCTCCTGGGCCAGCCTCAGTCTGAGAGCTCCACAAGTCAGGGCCCCGAGCAGTGGGCTCTCCAGGCAACAGCGGGGCTTCCCTCCCCACAGCCACACGGAGGGGACAGAGGGCTCAGCGGGAGTTCACTGAGGCCTGCTGAAGGGTCATCGTAAGTGTGCCAGCAGTCTGCACGGCAGCACGCTCTCAGACTGCAAGGTGAGAAGGCAGCAGCCATCACAGCACTGGGCTTCCAGGGGTGCAGCCCCCACAAAGGATGGGGGCCTCATAGGAGGCCACAGGAAGGGGGTGGGATGCCGTGAGGCCAGGACAACAGCCAGGCAGCGGCAGTGGCTGCTACTCGGTTTTGCTCTAGCAAAACAGACACTGTGGTGGCCTCCAGGGCCCAGAACTCGCTCTCCTCCTGACCCCCACCATCACCCCCACCCTGACCTGTGTGAAATGGGCCCAGAGGCCCCAGAGCCCAAGGGGCCACAGGCTGCCAGAGGAGCATCAGGGATGAGAGCCCCAACCTACCTCAGCCTCTGCACAGAACCAGCACACCTGACCCCAGTGTCAGCCTGGGGCCAGAAGTGGCTTTTCAGAGGGCAGAGCGCTAGAAACAGACAGCACCATCTACAGAAAGCCACAAGGTGTGCAGCCTGGAGCATGAGCTGCCCTGTATGCAGGAGGGACCACAGCTCCGCTCCAAGCCTGCAGCAGGTGCTCGGTCCCTCCTGTCCCCCTGCGTCCCCTCCCATCTGTCCTCCTCCTCTGTCCTCTCCCTCTCTCCTACCTTCTTACTCTCCTGCTTACATTTACGAAAATTTGGTATCACAAACGAAAGACACAAGGAAACGAAAGGCAAAATAATCTCTTTCAGGGTGCAGGAAAAGCTGCCAAATAAAGAGCAGCAGAGAAACTGTGGCCAGGGCTACTGGAGAGCTCTGGCCTCACCCAAGTGCCCTGAGTCAAGGCCAAGAACCTGTCCTGGCACTAAGCACTGCTAAATCAGAAACACTTTTCTGGGGCCCACAGCACCGACCGGCAGACCCCAGATAGGTAGGGTGGCATCCACTCACTCACCGCCGGCCGACTTCCGTGTAAACATTCAGCATGGCACCTCCAATCAGATAACCAGCAGCGGGGCCCAGGATGGCCGCAGTGTAAAAGACAGCTGAAAGGCAAGCAGAGGAGCCGTGTCCACCATGGCCACCCTGGTGTCGGCCTCCCAAGGCCCATACCCATGGTCCTGTGCCTGTCTGCACCCCCTGAGGCCTCTCTCGTCAGCATCTGTCATTACAACTGTGCCAGGTCTGATGTCCACTTGGCATCACAGGTGAGTACTGCACAGCTCTTAGGAGACAGTGAAGAACTCGGGAGCACTTTGTGTTTCTGCCTGAAAGTCTCGACTCTTCTGAGTTGCTTCTATCTGCCACTCCTCCCGTGACCAGCACGGCATGGCCAAGGGCTCCGGCCCCTCCCACCTGCAGCTGGCTCCCTGGGCCTCACCTGTGCCCCTGAAGTGGCCACGTGATCAGGGGTCACTGGGGCCCCAGCACAGAGGGGGCTTCCTCACCTCCACTCCGTTGGTGCTCAGGTGAGACCACCTCTGGGCAGTCCTCTCAGGGGTGGGCACCTGGCACCACGTGCACACAATACGCAGCGGGCTGGAGACCCAGCCCAGGCAGGCACCACTGGGGGCCGGCTGTTGTCAGTCTCCAACACTGCCTGACTTCTTGCGCCACCCAGCCCCTTCCACTCACCAATGTAGACGGGCGAGTAGCTGGACTTGACATTCTCGTCCAGGTAGGTGACGCCCAGGGTGTAGAGGGGCGTGGCGCCCACGCCGTGTAGGAACTGACCCAGCATGAAGACCAGCCGGAAGTGGGACAGGCCCGAGCGGCTGTCAGCACACACTGCAGTCTGGTTGGCCGGGCACGTCCCCATCTGCGCCCCCGCGTCCACCTCCGCCTCATAGCGGCCCGAGATGAAGTGAGGCAGCGCGAACACCAGCGAGCCGGCACCCAGCAGGAGCACGCCCCAGCCCAGACAGCGCGGCTTATGTCCACTGCCCCCAAAGTAGCTGACAAAGGTAAGGCAGAGACAGGCGGCGATATCGTAGGAGCTGGCGATGAGGCCGCTCTGGTAGCTGTGCAGGTCATAGCGACGCTCAATGGAGGTGATGACCGTGTTGATGAAGCCGTTCACCGTCATGCCCTGCAGGAAGGAGGCTGCACACAGGAAGAACAGGAAGCCCTTGGGGGTGTTGAAGACCTGCAGGCACTCAGGTGCGAAGCCCCGCCAGCCACACGCTGTGTCCCTTGGCCCCACTGACACGTACTGCGCCTCCAGGGCTTCCTGGCTCTTGTGCCTCTCTGCCCGGGGCTGGCACAGGGGCCGGCTGCAGGAGTCCAGGGGGCAGTGGGCAGCAGAGCGCTCAGAGCCTGGGGAGTCCCTGCTGCCCAGGGGGCTGCGGTCAAACCCATTCTCCACAGCCACGGACGCACTGCTGAAGAGCTGGGGCATCAGGGGGAAGCGCTTGTCCCGCAGCGCGTGCTGGGGCATCTCTGGGACCAGGGGAAGCCTGCGGTAGCAGGGTGAGAGCAGGACCGGCAGAGGCGGCCAAGAGGAATTCCACCTGCCCTGTTTGTTCTGCAAAGAGAATTTCCAGTTAGTGAACCAGAACCTGCCTGATGTCACGGCTTTGTGAAGACTCTGCATGCCCATCATGGGGTTAGCCGGGGGCTGACTGGCTGGCACTGCCCCTCCCGCACTGGCATCCCGGACAGCCCCTCCCAAATCTAGAATGGCCGAGTACCAGACCCACACCCAGGTGTTTCGCTGGGGTGCAGTTGCTGCCCAGAAGACCCAGCCTGCGGACAGGTACTGGACTCCAGCACCATCAGAACAGGGGTGGAGCACGGAGGGCTTCAGGGGCCGCAATGAGGGCGGAGCCCCCGGGGGGAGGTCAGACAGCAGAAGCCAGGCCTTTGCTCTGCCCTCAAGAGCTGTGCCCGCAGCCCAGCAGACCTGACTCCCTGAAATCCAACTAAAAATCACTCATCATGCCCCAGGGCCTGGAGGCTGCGGGGATGGGCAAGGGGAACAATCCTGGAGTCAGACACCACTGCCAGGTCTTACTTGCTCTGCAGAAGCCGCAGCTGCTCCACATCAGATCTCTGGAGAGGCTGAGCCCTGTGCACTGTCACCAGGAAGACCAGACGCTGTCCCTCTGTCCCCGCCTCTGCCCAGCCTCCCCCGAGCTGCCCTGCCAGAGGAGTGGAGCACTGCCTTGCTGGCTCTAGGCAGGATTTCTGAGACACCTACGTATTTCAGAAAAGGTAGTGCTTGGCCAGGTACGGTGGTATATACCTGTAACCCCAGCACTCTGGGAGGCTGAGGCAGGTGGATTGCGAGTTCAAGTCTAGCCCGGACAACTCAGTGAGGACCCTGTCTCAAAAGTCAAAGATAAAGGGCTGGGGCGCATAGCTCAGTGTGAAGGCCCTGGGTTCAATTCCTGTTACTGTACTGCAAAAATAAAAAAGAAAAGGTGGTGCCTGTTCCCAGGAACACAGCCCCTTCCAATGCCCAAGGCTTTCCAGACAACCAGTGGCAGCCACTGCAGACTTACAAGGCCTTTCTGCCGGAAGTAAATTGTTATGAAACACGGCGCTGAGGTGACAGAAAGCACCTGCTCTGCAGCACACAAGGCAGCGCAGAGCCAGCATGGGCCTGGCCATGCTCCCTGTGTCCTGCCCACAGGACAGGCAGCCCCACCCCCAGGACCAGACTGAGACTGAGGAGAGGCCCTGATCCAATAAATCCTGCCAAACGGGAGACGGACTCAGCACACTGGGAAGGAGCCACGCGAGGCAGGACAGACCCCGCCTGCAGCGAGGACCTGGGTTCGAGGACACCTCCCTCCACCCAGGACTTCTGGCCTCCAGAGCGGGGATGACACCTTCTTGTCATCCAGTCCCCCAAGATCTGCCGTCTGTTACAGCAGCTCCAGGAGCTCCAGAAGGTGCAGATCTGGGGGAGGCCAGGAACTCAGCAGACATAAATACACTGTGAAGGCAGGGCGTGGTGATGCACACTTATCATCCTAGCACGCTGGGAGGCTGAGGCAGGAGGATTACAAGTTTGAGCCCAGCCTGGGCAACTTAGCTACTCATAGAGACCCTGTCTCAAGATAAAAAAATGGTTAAAGAAGGGCTGGGGACACAGCTCAGTTCGAGGCCCTGGGTTTAAAGACAAAGAAAAATAGCACAAGTGTGGGGCTCTGGGACAAGGCATATGGGAGGGGTCACTGGGGACTTTGTAGGACTTGCTGACCAGGGACAGCAAACTGCTGGTTTTGTTTAAAAATAAAGGGGACAAATTTATCCTGTGACCACAACAGGACTGGCCCAGGGGAAGGCACCGAGAGCCCTGTGGGATCCCAGCTAGAGCCCGCGGCACTCCCCAAGCTGCACCGCGACTGCAGGCTGAGCCCGAGTCCCTGGCCTCCTACACCCTCACCTCACAAGGGGCCATGGCAGCCAAAGACTGCCACACTGCTCCTCCAGGGAACACCAGGCCAGAACCCTGTCCTCACCTCCAGGTAGAGGAAGGAGGTGGCTGCAGATTTGTCCAAGACCACACAGCTTGCCAACGGCAATTACGGCCCGATCCTCACAATCTGGCTTCAGACCCTGCAAGCACAGGTGCGAGCACGCGTGTGGGAGACTTTTGCTGTCTTTGAACACGTACAGAATGGTCACCAGCCACATGGCACTTATGCACAGGTCCCGCATTGACTCTGGAAACACAGTTAAGCATCAGTGGCCCTATTTTGATGCTGCAAACAGCAAAAATTCCACCACCGGGGCCTGCTCGCGGCACCCATGACCACACCAGGGTTTTATTTATGATACCAACGCCTCCCTGCAAGCCCACACCAGTCTAGCGCTGAGAAGGGCAGTTTTCATACTGTGGGAATGACAGTCACAGCTCCCCAGGAGCGAACAGTGGTCCGTTTGCATGCATCCGCGCAGCCAGTGACTGCACTGAAGTCACATTGCCGCAGAGCAAGCAGGACATGCGGGGGGGCCCCGGGGGTGGAGGGGACAGCTGTGGCCTCAGAGCTTGGAGACATGCAGGAAAGGCCAAGGTCATGCGAAACTCCAAGCCCAGGGACCACCCTGCGGCTCTGCCTTCAAACACCCACTCCAGCCAGGGGGGCTGTCTGCCCGCCCCGTGGCCCTGTGCTGCTCACCCCAGACCAGAACACAATGGAGATGGGGCTCAGGTCCTCGAGGAGGGCTGGGCTGCTAAGCCTCCACGACAAGCACCAACCACAAGGGGACAGGATGGCTTCCTACTTGAAAATCCAGCCGCCACTTGAGAACACCAGGGCTGGAGTCCAGCAATGAAGGCCCATGCTGCTGCTTCACCTGAACCAAGAGCTCTGACAGATATGAAAAGCTCAGCCTGAAATCAGACTTTTCATCTACATTTAAAGTAGTGATCTTAAAGCCCATTTAAATATTAGCCACGAAGATGCAATATTCACCACCAGCCCCTGGAGGGGGGCAACAACAAACCTGTGATAAGAATTCTTTACTGCCCAGATGTGGCGGCCCCTAGGGCTCCACGGCCCCATCAGGAGTGGTTCTGATGGTGATGAGACCCAACTGGCACACAGACCTGGAGCCAACGCCAGCACCGCCTTTGGTGTCCTTGCCTCACTGAGGCAGCACTCAGGTGACCGTCCCGGCCCTCCCCTTCCCAGTGCGTCTCCCAGGCTCAAGTGGTACATGTGCCAGTGCACAGACACAACTCCAGCCCCATCAGGGCCTGCTGGCACTGGTCTCCCCACTGGGCGGGCAGCACTCGGCCAGAGCGTGGCCCTGTTCTCCCTGTCCAAGTCTGCACTCAGGTCTCTATGGCTGTGACCCCGGCGCCAGCATCTGCCTGACCATTCCACAAGCAGGCAGGAGGGAAGAAGGCCTGCTCCATGCACACCCTTGGCAGGAACCTGTGGGGCCTCGCTGGACATGCAGAGTTTCCCAGCAATGGTTTGCCTCGAAACCAGCTGGATTTTGGAAATGAAGGCCTCAGGTGCAGCAACCACACCAATGACGCAGCCTGGAACCTTCTCATCCTCCGCCTCCTCGTGGGCAGGCCACAGGGACCCTCACCTGGATGCCCAGCTCTATCGAACCCCAAGACTCACGGCCCACCTCCGAGGCACACCCTGTGGTCAGACGCCACGTGTGGTCAGAGCGAGGGCCAGCTTGAAGACGGGCTTCCGGTGTCAGCTCTCCTAGGTACTGGTGCCCAGGCACTACGCAAGGCCATGCACAGTGTGTGCAGGGGCTTTCTGGATTCGACACCCAGAGCTGCGGATGGGGCACAGCAGTGGACCTCTCGGGGTGGGCAGGCCTCACCGGGTCCCTCCTGGGCCTGCAGCTCTCCTGCTTGCACTCCTTGGGGACCTGAGGAGGTGCATATGTGTGCACGCGCGCGCGCGTGTGTGTGTGTGAGTGTGTGTGTCTGGTCCTGACGCTGTACAAAGCCATGGGTGACCCACACCGCATCAGAGGGCAGCAGGCACTGGCTTGGCTGTGTCTGCCCAGAGCACCTGGCCAGTGGCTTTCGGGGAGGAGCCCAACAATTACCCAGTAGAAGTCAGGAGCCTGCCCCGTCTTCCTTGAAGGCTGGGGCCCTGACTCGCACACCCGCGTGTTCCTCTTCTCTGCTTAGTCTTTCCTCGCCCATCACTCAGCTCCCTGTCCACAGAGCACACAGGCTTCCCAAGAGCAACATGTAACCTTTGGCGCATGTGGTGCTGCCCTGCTCTCCGCAGCCCAAGTCCCTGCCCAGTGCCCCCACGGAGGCCCAGAGCTGACTGCCCCTTCCATGCTCCAGGACAGTCCGGGGCCCAGTTCCTGGATCCCACTTGGACCTCTGCAGCCAGGAAGAATCACAGCTCTCACTTTTCCTCTCTTTAGGCTCCAGGCAGGAGGCGGAGGAGGCCTCGCCATGTTCTAACATCTCTGCTTCGAGGCCACCAGACGCAGGCACACTGGTCCTCTCCTGAATTCAGCGATGGGTGAGTGCAGGGGCACCCTCACACCTTCAAGATGAGGCTCAGGCGCTTACAGAGAGAGCAGACACCGGGACAGGACTGAGGTGGCCACCACAGTACCCTGCACAGCCCGGTTTGCACACTGGTGACCACACACATGTGAGGACTCAGGAAGCCAGCCTCTCTGCATGGAGATCTACATGGAGAGGTCTAAAGAGACCCTGGGCACAGGGGCCAGGGCTGGCTCCAGAAGGACCTGCCCCCTGGAGCACCTGTCACTCAAGCCGAGCGCAGAGCCCCAGGGAGCCGGGGGTACAGGAGGCAGTGAGGGCACAGCAAGGCTTAGCATTTCCTTCGCTTCAGCTTGAGTTCTATCAGCTCGAGTTCTATCTGTGGAGAAGGAAGCCCTCCCTGCCATTCAAGGCAGATTCAAGCAGCAGAGAGAACAGGAAGAGGCTGTCTCAACCCAGGCAAGGGCTTCCAACCTCAGGTAGGTCACAGGCCTCTCTGAGGCTCAGTTTCCCCACTGCAACATGGCACGATGCCGTGAAGTGAAGGATCCAGCCCTCTACACAACAGGCCTGGGCCCCACTGGGGCACATGAAAAACACAGACCCACAGAATAAGCCCTGATATCCAAGCCCTCAGCTCTGCACCTTGGAGCTCCTCAGCAGTCCCCACAGCAGCCTCTCAGCCTGTTTGATGGCTGGGACAAAGGAGACCCCAACTCCTCTCGCAGTCCTGGTTTTTGGAGAGTGAACGTGTAACCTAGGTTTTCTTGCAGATGGGCAGGCGCTGTGACAGCACCCACAGTCTTCTTTGCCTTGGTATTCCAAAAGGCACAGGAGAGTGGTGCCCAGCTGGCATGGGGAAGAGGGGACCCCTGGAACCGGGGTCTCTGGCTCTGACAAGTCAAGCCCTGCAGGGACAGCAAGCCTGTCCGACACTTGATGCTCAGTTCCTGGGTCACTCCTAGTACCTCTCATAAAAGGAATAGGTTTGAAAGGCATAGCAGCAGCACACACCAATGACCCCATCATTCGGGGAAACTGAGGCAGGAGGTGGGACAACTCGGTGACTCAGTGAAACCCTGCCTCAGAATATAGACAGAGCTCCAGCTCAGTGTAAGAAAGCTTTAGAAAAAGCATCCACCCTCCCCCCAGAAACGTGGCCCAAGATTCTAATTTCGTGTAACGGTGGCAGGAAGGAGCCGCTACACTGCGGCTACCCAGGGGAAGCAAGGGGTGTTGGGAGGCCAGAGGTCCCAGCATCTGAGGACAGCAGGCTGCAGGCCAAGCAAGGACAGCAGAGGGGAAGTCATCAGACCACTCTGCCCTGCCTGGCCCCTGCCTCGGCAGTGACTTATGAGAGCACACAGCCCAGGGTCCGGGAGGCAGGCAGCAGGTCCATCTTCTCCCCCTCTCCACAGGCAGGGCCTCCAGGCTCCATCGAGTCACACAGAACCCTGGCAACCTCCCTTCCTCTTTGAGGGCACAACCCCCATGGCCTGTCAGGTTACTCTCAATTGTCCAGGTGCAGGGTTCTGCCCACTGCTGGCTCTTGTGCTCACCAAGGCTCCACCAAGGCCAGATCTGCAGCCAGAGTCCCGGAAGCCAGCTGCGTCCAGGTTCTAAGGACTATCACAGCCTCCCTCCCAAGCCAACACGGCTGTACCGCGCTGGAGAATGAGGAGGCCATGTGGCTTGGGACAGAGTACCTGTGTGGCCTCCCTCCATATCCCATTGGATACAGCCAGAGGGAGCAGGTGTGCTGGGTGCAGCTTCCCTGCTGCCCCTTCTGTCCACCAGCATCAGGCTCTTTGTGGGCCCTTCTGGGGCTCATCTACCAGTGATCCACCTAAACCACTGGGGAGAGCTCAGGGATTCACTTTGTTCAGGCTTAGGAGTCCACAACCGGGGAGATCAGAAAGACTCAGCAGTACCAATGGGGACACTACAAGTGCAACACTGTGCTCCGTAAGTTACATTTCACTGCCTAGTAAGACAGACCTGGAGCCCAAAGGCAGCCCAGGCCGTCTGTAAGCCAAGGGCCAGGGAGAGCTCAGTCAGTTGCTGTGTGCTCACTCCCTTCCCTCCCTGTTTACACCGCACCAGCCCGGCCTGCCCTGCATGCCAGTGGCAGAGAGGGATCTGGTTGGGACTTGCCCAGCACCTGCTTCAGGAGCCACTCCCAGCGAGCCACCTGGAAGGCAGCAGCCCATAAAGAATTTTCCAGGCAGTGCCTGCTGGCCTGGCCTTGTGGGGAAGCAGGACATATCCTGCCACAGGGCAGTCAGGATGAGCTGGCTCCTGGGTGCCTCCAGGCTCCAACTAAGAGGTCCCTGCCCTTGTCCCTGCCTGCAGCACAGGAGAAACGGGCTGTGCAGCCACTTCCCGAGGAGCTGCCCTTCCTCATATGGTCACTGACTGTCCTGTCCCCTCAACTGTGGGCTGCCCCAGACACAGCTGAGGGCCTCAGGCCTGGGTTTCCCCTCCCTTCTTGGGAATAGAGTGGCATAAGGGTTCGGAGCCTAGATGTGGTCTGCGGGAAGCAGGACTAGCTGTGCTATCTTGGGCAACCACCTGACTGACCTCCTGGTGCTTCTCCTGGGCCTCTGAGCAGTGGGAGTGTGAAAAGCTGCCCCCCGGGGGGTCCTGGAAGGGTTAGCCCCAAAGAGTATGCAATGGAACACTCCCCACGCTCAGGCAAAGCTCAGGCAAAGCTCCTGATGTCTTTGCTATGAATGTTAAGGGCCACAATGGAGGCCAAATAAAACGCAGGTGCTCTCTCCCCCTAAGCCTATGTGTTCCTGGCTGCCCAGAGGAAGAGGAAACCTCTGAGCAGCTGGCTCCAGGAGCCAGATTCTGATCAGGTAGAAGTAAGCTAAATTCCAAAGCCCCGCGTCCCGGGAGCGAAGAAGGAGAGCTGGTTTCCACTACGGTGGAAAACTACTGCGATTCTAAAGTCTCTAGACGGAAACGCGCCCTGTGCGGGGGCTGAGCAGCCTCCCGCGCCACGTGGGGGCCGCGCACCTGAGGTCTCGGCCCAGCGATGCTGGAGC